GGCACCGAAATACTCTGAGTTGAATCCCATCCACACACACCTACCTGTTTGGAAATAGGCTTCTTACAAGGCCAAGTGATCTCAGAAAAATTCCCAAGGGGAAGAAGCCACTTGAGAGCTCAATGCATTTGGGTGCTATGAAACCCAAGCCCTAACCCTTAAATGCATGATATATTGGCATTTAAGGCCTCGCTGTGGCCTTAAATGCTGATCTTTATCTGCTTCCAAATCCCAGCACTTCTTCCTAAATTCGTTTTTAGCAAAATTTGATGCTTCACAACTTTGGCTTGCAGAACCCAACACACAGGGGTACGGCCAGGCTCATGCATTTACGTGCCTGCAGGGTGTACCTGGGCCATGCAACGGACCCCCCTTCCCACCCCTGCTTACAACACAAGTCTATGGGCTGGGGGATGTGGAGGGCCAGGGTAAGTTATGGGGAGAAGAGAACGGTGTTTAATGTGGCAAAGGTAGTTCAATACTGTACAAAGAGCTGAATAATAAAGCCATTTCTGGACATGTATTTGCTTGATATTACGGAGACCCATTTCCTCTGCTGTTATCCCCAGTTGTGAAAGTTAACTTCAGACGCTAAAAGTAGAGCACACGAGCACAAAATACCTTAGGGCCAAGGTGCACCATACCACAAATACACTTGTACTCTTCTCTTCCAGAAAGAGGGCACAGCCTCAGCCTCGCAAGCAGCGTTCATTAAACCAAACTGGGTTCATAAGCTCTGTCTGACATCCGCTGGAAAGGCTTGCAAGGCACCCTGCTGTTTATAACTTCCATGCACCTTGCCCACGCTATACATAATGCATGATGTAACCTGAAGTCAAACCAGACCCAGTGGGAACTGCATGACCATCTCCCTTAAAAATATTGTAGCCTTAGAAAGTCTTTTTTTTTTTTTTTTATTATTCTAACAACACAAAGTGGTAGGGATAAGAAGGACACCAAAGGCATGAGCCAGCTCCCGCTGAAGTCAAGGAAAAGATTCCCACTGATCTCAGTTGAAAATTGGAGAGGAAACCAACTGGGTTCAAAGGGTTTTCTAAGCACTGGTCATCATGTGCATTGAAGACATCTTCAAAAGCTACTTATTTTTGGATGGACACCACTGATTTCTATTCAAACAGAACGAGGTATCAGAGGCTTGAACTTTTCCACTTAAAAGGACCGAGGGTGGAGGGGAAAAAAAAAAGAAGAGAGAAATGGAGCTATTTAAAAATCTGCTAAATGAAGCAAACAAAATGCACCCCTATAAATCACATGTCTGCAACACGTGCCATTATCTCATTTGGTTTTATACGGACAGCTTTGATCATTATTCAGCAGTGGTCTTCTGCAAAAACATTTTAGCATTATATTGCACAGTTCCCAGCCAAAACCAGGAGAAACAAATGGCTTGGCGTTCCCCCCCACCCCCCAAACTCTTTTAATCCTAAAAGGAACGAAAAGCAAGATAAATGAGAACGTGTCCATAGGAAATTCAGATGTCTCCGCGGCAGAGTTCTTAAAAGGCATGCCATTAGTGATGCATATGTAACAAGAGCGACTATAATTGGGTTTATTATGCCAAAAGCCAAGAAAGAGGGAGCCTTAGAGGCCACACCAGCCTAAAAATCACATGAAGCATCATCACACCCATGTGAGCAGCTGCATGGGACATGAGCCTCACCCAACCATGCTGTCAAACCCCATCCCATCTGCCCGGCCTCACAATGGGCTGGAGGATCCCCTAAAACAGTCTCCAGTAGCCACTCGCCCACCCCAACACTGGGAGTGCTTGGGCAAAGGGCTGGTGTGCAAGACATGTGCTTCCCTTGCTATGGGCTCCACCTTCCCAGATGCTGCAGTTCCCTGGGGAGACGCTGCAGCAGCATGTTCTCCACGCAAACTCCTTGCACTCATCTGAACCCAGATGTCATCCTAAAATAAACCGCAGTCAGCATCCTTCCTGCCAGGTGAGACAGACAAGAGCTCCCCATTGCAGGTGCATGACCCTAACAACCCAACGGACGTTAAAATGCATCGACTGTGCTTATGAGGGGCAACGCCATGGCCGATACTGCCTTATTTCATCCATGACCTCCTCCTCTAACCTAGAAGAGGAGTAAAAAGCTTTCAAGAGCATCTAAGGGATTTCCCTGGGACTTCAGCTCCTCTGCACCCAAGATGTTTCTGGAAACAGGACTCGGGCTCCAGAGGTGCTCCTGGAAATCCCATCTAACACTTCAGTGCGCAATGAGGCTAAAAACTTGTTGGACCAAAACTGGGTGCTGCATTGTGAAAATTTAATCATGAATAATTTTTCACTGGCTCTCCAAGCTCTACAGGCAACACAATAGGCATTTATAGATCGGAAAACCCCCCCAGTGGCTTCCAGATGATGTTCTCCCAGTCAGCAATAAAACCATTAAAAGCTTGAAATATTAAAATTGAGCCAAGAAAGCTTCACGGATATTTTTGGAGGAGACAGGATTTGTACTGAGATTCTCCACAATGATCAAAATGATTTCTTTCTGCTGGTCCTTGCTTTCATACCTTACCACTCACGTGACCTTCTAGATCCTGAAATGATTGACACAACCACGCATGGGAAAAGCCACCAGGGAACTGCAGCAAGCAGGTACTGGCTTAGTCAAAACCAAACGCTTCCCACAGGCTTCAAATCTATTTTCAGTTTTAAGCCATAAATGGAACTGGCCTCCAAAATGAATTAAGACGAGCTCTGAAGATTAAAACTTCCCAGTAACGAAACCAAAAATATAGGAGCAGCACAGGCCAGCAGACGATTCTGTGGGCGAGTATAATGGAAAGCAGCCGGCACCGAAAGTACAAAGGGACTGATTTCAGAAGCTCAAAGGGAAACTCTTCTTGAGCAATGCTGTAATTTCAAAGCAGTTACCGGAGCTGCCCTTAGAAGTCCCCTGCTAACTCTAGCGGAGAAAGAAATCTATTAACAGATAGGAAGGCTCTTAAGAGCCCCCCTGCTGCCTCCCTCCTCACACCTGGCACTGCGACCCTAATCCCAGGAGAACTGTGACAGCTAGAAAGTCCCCAGGAAAGCAGTCTCACAAGAAGGATTAGTCCAACAGAAGTTAAAAAGGCACAATCAGCATCTTGAGAACCCTGGCAAAAATCACATCAGTCTCATTGTGGTGACAGCTGGCTTTGCAAATAGCACTGAATCATCAAATCTGACGACAGATGACATTTCCATCCCTGGCTGCCAGCATCTTTTTTTAATTGAAGTATTCCTGAATGTGGTTCCCACACAACAAGAGTCCTGCCCACTTCCAGACCAATTTGGGACAGCGTTAAGCGTGATCCAGAGGTGCCGTTAACACCGAGAAAGGGCAACGTCAGGAAGGCAGAGCGGAGGAACAAGCTGCCCCGGTGAGGAATGATAAAGACAAGAAGAGCGTCTATAGCCTGAACGCAGGTCAGCCAGAAAAGAAGGACGAGAAAGCTGTGGTTCCTCTGTAAACAGCAGCTACTTTGCCTCGACTGCTGTCGCAAAAACATCAAGCTACAGCCAGACATCTAACAAGGATGATTTGGATGAGGAAGGGGACAAGCAGGGGGGACAAGGTGAGAGACACAGCTGGGGCTTTTGGTGGTTCTGGAAGAGTTCAAGTCAGGGCCAAAGGAGCTGCATCCCAGGGGCCTGAAGGAACTGGCCCTTGGCAACGATGTACAAGAAGTCCTGGGAGACTGACCTTTTCCCATCCTCTGGTACCTGGCCCATGTTGCACCCCTCCAAGGAGCTGGGCACCTACAGGCCAGTTAGCCTCACCTCGGTACCTGGAGAAGATCCCAAGGAAGGCCATTCACAAGCACCTGGAGGACGAAGGGCTGATCACAAGCCACCAGCAGGAATTTATAAAAAAAACCCGATCTCCCCCTTTCACCAAGTAACTACTTGGGTGGATGCGGGGAATGCAGTGGAGTGGACATTAAAAAGCCTGACAAGGAGAAGCTGTGGGAGCTGGGCACGCTCAGCTTCTGGAAAAGGCACCGACGAGGGGACAAGACAAGTGTTCAGATACTCGAAGGGCTGCCAGAGGACTGAAAGCCCCTTCTCTCTCCTGCTGCAGAGGAGGGCATGGACCAACGGGGTGAAGCTGCAAAGTAGACTTACTTAGAGCGCACGTCAAGAAACACTTCCCCATGAGAGCAGAGGCAGGGGAAGACTCCCAGGGGACCTGCGGACTTGGCGTTCGAGAGGTTGGCACCATTGGTTGGGGATGACCTAGGTGTAGTTCCTAGGCTTTACTGGTTACTTCCTGGAGCCAGGAAGGCCTCTCTCCCCTTCTCGTTGCTATATGCGTCCAGGCTGTTTTTTCAAGCCTCCCTCAGAGGCACTGGCTGGGGCTCACGGTGGGGATGGGGACTGGACTGTGCCAACGCTCCCTGCTGGGACCAATCCTGCAGGGTCCTGGCTAGAGGGTCTTGTACCTCTGCTCAGGCTCACACCAATCACTACATTTAGGGTCAGGAAGAAATTTCCTCCTATAGACAGATCAGTACTGCCTGGGGGTTTTGCCTTCCTCTGTAGGGCACATCCTCCCCATGGGGTTTCTCGAGTGCATTTTAAACAACCTTGCCACAACAGGATGGTGGCTGCTAGGGTCCCTCTGCTTTAGGACATGGTTTGGGGAGGTATGATCCTGGCTCAGGAAGGTGGCTGGACCCATGACACCCTGGTTGAGAACCACAGAGCTGAAGTGTGTCTGGGGCAGTGCAGACTATTTCACGGCCTCTGGGATCAGGAAAAGCCTCAGCCTTGGCCCAACTGGCTCTGTGGGTTCCTGGGAGTCCCCCCAACCCGCCAGACAGGACATCCCCCAAGTATCTGGCCCTGTGTCCAGCCCTATTGTGCACTGAGATAGGGGCAGTAGCAAGACCACCAACCACAACACCACCTCTCCTGTGAGGGTCCTGACCCTGCAGCCCCAGCTCCCTTACGCACTGGTCACTGACTTCATGCTCTGTAAAAAGCAGATTATGGTATTTATTGGCATTAAAACACTGTACACTGTCCCCGTGCTGGCAGCACCACCTTCACCGGATGCCTTGGTGGATGATGCTGCTCTTGGCAGTGCCTGCCTTCTCCTTCTCTTTCTTCTTCACAGGGTGCATCTCAAAGCAGCACCAGAGCTGTAGCATCGCATCTGCAGATGCAGACGCCACCATAGAGCCGTCTGGGCTCATGGTTAGGTTCAGGACTCTGGCTGTGTGGCCTGGGAGGAGCAGCATGGTCAGGGATCCACTCACCCAGGACCCACCTTAAGCCTCTGCCTATGGCCAACCCCCCACCTCCCCCAGGTCTGTCTGCCCCACTCACGTGGGGGCAGGCTGCATCCCAGCTGTTTGCACAGCTGGCTTCCACCCCACTGCACAGCTGGCTCTACAGCAGCACTCGGGTCCCCCTCCCTCCTCATGCACCTCTGCTCCCATGGAGATCTGGTCCCTGGCACAGGCAAGGCCTTCCCTGTGCCCCAGGGTCCTGGCTCCAGCCAGGGCTGCTGCTTACCGTTTAGCTCTGTGACCTTGACCATGGTAGGGTATTTCCACACCACCAGCTGGTTCTGGGCGAAGCCGTGGCCAGATATGAACTCCTTGGAGTTCGTCGACCACAGGATGGCGCAGACCTCGGGGAGGCAGAGCATGGCAGGTGGCACAGGAGTCAGGAGGGACAGGCAGAATGCATGGCCAGGTGTCTGCAGTCCCCAAGTCAGTGCAATTAGGCAGCTCCTTATGCTATGGAAAGGCCTGGTCATCCCATGCCTTGGGGGTACTACTGGTCATCGGCTGGTCCATGAGGGGCCAGCAGGGGAGATTATGCTTAGGGGCAACCAACACGGGTTCATTAGAGGCAGGTCCTGTCAGATCAACCTGGTGGCCTTCTATGACCATGTCACCAAATCCCTGGATGCAGGCGTCACGGTGGATGTAGTCTTTCTGGACTTAAGGAAGGCGTTCGACACGGTCTGCCTGTTCTCATTAAAAAACTGGGGGCTGTGGTGTCGACACCCACACGGTCAGATG